GAGACGCGCCGGAGTCTCGGCCCAAAGAGCCCCGTGGCCTCCGACCTGCCCGCGGGAGGTGGGGATGGGAAGGATCGAGAAACCGAACGCCAGGGCGAAGGCTCGGATCTCGGCTACGCCTTCCGTGTGGCAAGAGGGGACGTAAACATCTGGCGGGGTGTTTTTTGGGGGGGGGGGGATCCGCTCCCGGGCGCTGAGTGTAACCGCGGAAATCTCTGAGCAGCACCCAGACATCTCGCTGTAGGCCTTGAAGGCAGGACGAGCAGGTCCGCCTCACCACGGTCCCTCGGCGGTGGCACGCGTGGGGTGCTGAACGCCAGGCTGAAGTTCTTTCCTCGGCTAGGCCTCCGTCCTCTGCTCCGTGAGGACGTGCAAAGGAAGGGAAACCAAGGGCAGAAAATGTCTGGGTTCGGGTGGCACAGCACAACTCCGCCTGTCTTGCCAGTGTCCTTTAAGTGGAGAAGCCACTGGGGAACACTTGGGGAAGGGGTGTGGGCACAAGTGTCCACATCTCTTTCACCCCGTCCACCCCAGTCTCACCCCATTTTTCTCAGAAATGGCCCATTTGCGCCCTGGCGGCTGCAGCGTGTAAACGCGGTATGCAGAGAATGAGCAGTTTTAGAGCGGTTTACGGTCCAGAAGATTCTAATGTTGAGATATTCGAGGAATTCGTATGAGCGTAATATACGCTACCATTATGGTTGGATTCAACATATATTCCATTGAATATCTCCCGCTTCAAATTAGAACTGGTGGGCCCACTTCTAATTGTGAACGGAAAAATAGAGCAGGAGGGCGATTAGAAGATGACCCTTCTGCTCTCCTCTTCTGTCTACGGTAGCTTGTCGTTTACACAGATCATTGACTTATTATATTTATTGGCCTTTGAATTTCTCCCGGTAGGATGTAAAGTCCGCGAAGGCAGGGTTTTTTAAAATCCATTTTGTTCTTTGATATATCTCAAAGACATAATAGGTGTTAAAATGTGTGTATGTTCAATGAAGTACATGAAATAAACGTGTTAAGATCTCATTTTCTGCACCTCTACCTCTGCACGTCTGCCCGAATAATTCCTTCAGTCACTTTTGCCCCACCTCCACAATTCTGCATCTTCCGTGTGCTCTGAGGGCTCACAGCGCTTCTGAAAGTCCACTTTCTGCCTCCTCTCATGGCCACACATGCTCCAGCACTGGGCAAGGGAGGTCTCCCTCTCACTCATGCTGGCAACTCATCTCCATCAAGCACAGTGTTCAGAACACACTGCCATCAATAACCACTTCTTAACTGAAAGAACTGTGGATCTATTTGGATTTTAATACTCACAAAGCTTTTAAGCCCAGACCATGTCTTTGTAAGAGATGGACATTTTTCATATGGACAATATGAAAGAGAGATAATTTCCCCCAGATCCTTTCAATACAGAGATAGAAACGCATTGTTGCAGTCTCCTGTCTGTGCTGAACGAGGATGCACTGACGGCAGTAGTTTCTCAAACTATTATGACCATGATCTGCAGTAGGAAATGCCTTTCACATCAGAATCCAATGTACACGTACACAAATGCATATGATAACTAAAATAAACATTTTCACAAAACAAAACTTATTTACCCTTAATATATGGAATACGCCGGTATTGGCCTTTCTATTCTGTGCCACTTCGTTTTTGAATGCTTGTAATAACTTAATAAATTGATTTTACCATCCACTATTGAGCTGTAAAGAAAAAGAGAAAAAAATACTGTCAACTTCTTCTAAGATAGAGTCATAGGGAACAGATTTATTCTCCTAATCAAAACAAAATAGATGAAACAACCCTAAGACAGTGAAGGCCGCGGTTCAGGAAAAGAGAACCCAGCACAGTCTAACTCCCCAGGTTGAGGTGACATAGCTTAAGAGAAATCAAGGAGCGCATAGTTCACAGGACAAGAGTCAAGAGAAATCAAGGAGAGC